TTTAAGGAATCGTGGGAATGGGTGGGTGGTGGTTCGGGTGAGAAAGATGAGACGGACGAAATGAAGACAGAAGAGAGTGAAAGATTATCTGTGGAATATTACTGCCTCAGCATTTTGCCTAAGTGATCCAAGGAAACCACAGAAAAACTTGGACTAAGGCAGACGGACCCGGAATCGAACTGGCGTCCTCCCGTCTACAGGCCGTCGTCGGTTGGAGTCACTTCTTAACGTTTCGCTAGCACGAGTGGTGAGTTTCTTCAGAGATCCTTCTGTTTCCGATGCTAAATGTGTGCTGTTGATGAATTTAGTGATGAGAGGGATGTACGCCAATATGATGAGATTTTCATCAAAGCAACTGCTTTTCGGAAGGTTTCTGATACTGCTTTAAGGAAAAATTAAAAGTTTAAAGATAGTCTCTGATTTTCTGCCTCCTTGAGCCCATTTCGTTGGTTCTTAAGACTTGTAGTACCATTAAAACTAATAAAATCCAGCTAGAACACTGGCAATTCATTTCTTTCTATAGTTACCTAAGTGGAAACTTTTAGCACTCTCGTGGATTTTCCGATTTTCTGCCTTATTGAAAATGCAAAGTGAATTTTTGCCTATTTCGTTGGTTCCTAAGCCTTATAGTACCACTAAAAGTAATAAAATCCAGCTAGAACACACTGGTAATTCATTTCTTTCCATAGTTTCCTAAGTGGAAACTTTTATCACTCTCGTGGATTTTCCGATTTTCTGCCTCATTGAAAATGCAAAATGAATTTTTGCCTATTTCGCTGGTTCCTAAGGCTTCCAGTACCACTAAAACTAATAGCCCAGCTAGAACACTCTTGCAGTTCATTACTTTCTACTTATAATAACCTGACTTTTAACCCTTTCGTGAATTTTCTGATTTTCTGTCTCCTTGAAAATTCAAGGTGCATTCTTGCTTATTTTGTTTGTTCCTAAGGCTTGTAATGCGACTAAAACTAATAAAATCCAGCTAAAGCACACTGGAAATTCATTTCTTTCCATAATAAACTAAGTGAGGACTTTTAGTCCTCTTGTGGATTTTTTGTTTTTCTGCCTCCTTGAAAATGAAAAGTGTCTATTTCGTTGGTTCCTAAGGCTTTTAGTGCCACTACAACTAATAAAGCCCAACTAAAGCACGCTGGCAATTCATTTCTTTTTATAATAACCTAAGTGAAGACATTTAGCCTTCGTGGATGTTCGATCTCTTTGAAAATTCGTTAGTTCGTAAGGCTTTTAGTGCCACTAAAACTAATAAAATAAAACCCAGCTATAGCACACTGGCAATCGATTTCTTTCTATAAAAACTCAACTGAGGACTTCGTGAATTACACCCAACAATACAAAAGATCGATACGACTGTATACTATTATATTTTTTCGAGTCCGGACATGTCAACGCATAAAACTCGAAATATTGACAAAAATCCATATACGTTTGACATATAAGAAGGACAAATTAAATTTTAAGTAAGAAATGGGTTATCTGCTATGGCTTCTCATATTTTATCAATATATGATAATCTTATCGTTTAGAATAAATAAAATAAAAAATTGTGATTGTTCGAAGATTTCGTCTATGTGATATTTGATATGTCTAAAAATCGTTTGATAGAATCAGCCTAGATAGCAGTGATGCCCACAAGTTAACAACATAACTTTCTGTCAGATACTGTATGCTGACTGTCAGACGACAGAGTTAAACATGCTGCGGTCCGCCCTCTTACGTATGTTTTCGTTTGCATATATGATGATCGAGATGAACTAGACGGCCTGTAAAATTTTATGGACAATAATTACACATTTAAGCTGACGCATGACATTTAATAAAAAAACCTATTTTAAAAACGGCACGACAGACAAATGGATTCTGGACGACCTGCAAAACTGGATCCTGAAAGGTGTTAGCCGGATATTACAAATAACGTAATTGCAAATGGTTTATTAGTATTCATGTTCGTATTGGCGTCGTTTTTATTCTATTTTGCACATTTCTCACAGCCGTAATCAATTTCCTTGCCATTTACGAGCTATTTCTACAATTAAGGCTTTTCCCATCCCACGGTTCACTTTATCATTTGTACCGGGGTATGTTATTAAGTAATTTATTTACAAGTGCAATAAACTTGAAGAAACTAAGAGTGTTGGCAGACGCTGTCATAATTGAGAACGATACCAATCAAAATAAATCACACTTATTATTTACACTCAAAAAAATAAAAGACAGTAATTGTTTGTACGCACACATCCTATACGGCGCAGCGTGGCAAGCACTAATAAAAGTACAACATGGAAGAATTATGCGTTATGTCCTAAAAACATGCCAAAGATCATCGACGACCACATAAAACTGATTTTTCTATCCCTGGGGAACGGTACCCTTTTTCTGAATAAAAGGTACCCTATATCCTTTTCTGTACCCTTGACAATATGTGTACAAAATTTCATGATGATCGGTTGAGTCGTTAAGGCGTGAAAACGGAGCAAACAAACTCACTTTCGCGTTTATAGTATGTTAGTTTTTAGGATTACATGTACAATGATGCTGCGACTTACGTTATGTTATTTTTTATTCCGGTACAGGATTACTACGGGAGCCATTCATATCATGCGGTCTATCAGTATGATTTTTCAACGACAAACTTTTAAGTTGGTTTTTCTTTCATTCTTTTAATTAGTTTTAGCTTCGCAGTACATACCTACTTAAGCTGCCTAAGTAGATATACTTTTGGAAATTGGACTCATGACAATTATATAAGAGTGAGATTTGTATACAAATGAGATTCCTTCTTTTCCTAATATAATCTGATGAAGAAAAATAAGAAAAACGATTTAAAATTGTTATTACTAATGATGATTAAATGCTCCTAAGTTACGATAACGCCTTAACTTACGGTTTCCAAAAAAATCATTAGAAATTAATTTTGATCTGTGTGAAGTTTCGTGATGCAACACTTATTAGCTAAGTTGAATTCAGTTTTCCAAGAAAGAAACGACAGAACTATCTGTTAGTAATTAAGTTGCAGAAGTACAACTAACCCTGATTTGGATTATCATCACTTTCGGTTAACTGCGATACAAAATATTATAAGAAACACTTTGACATTCAGTAGTGGTCAATACTAAAGATTTCCTCATTATCTCATTAACTTGAGGTAATTTATAGTGGATGAAAAAATTAAATGAATTTTCACATGCGATACAAAAAATAATTTGATCACAATGGCTTAAAGTAGTTAATCGTATTCGAATATTTAAAGTTCAGGTATGAAACCCTGGGTGAGCGATTCACTTCGCACTTGACAGATTTTTACGTTTTTTTATGTATTTATTTAATGTTTTTGGGGTGTCAGATTTTCCATTTGCATAATTGGCTTATTTTAAAAACTAGATTTAGTAGCTGTGTATTTTATACCTGTATTCGACTTTAAATAAGGACCAGTGATTTCAATATCGTTTAGAAAATAATTACCTTTTGAACGAAGTATCTCGATATCTTCACCAGGTGATTAGCTATGCTAATTCACACAGCTGCTTTTGGAGATGTTGATCAAGTATGCATTGGAATTAAGTAGTTTGGCTTTGGCGCCTGTAGTAACAAGGATATGAGTAAACAGTTTTTTATACGTTCATACGTATGTGTGTAGTCGGCCTTGATCGACGTTACCTTATGAATATCCAATGATTTATGAGATTAGTTTAACTTGAATATTATTATTAGCAGAATTACGGTAATACATATTAGCAACACACAACATAGCACACTACGGTTTTGATGAATTGACTTTAATTGACTTTAATCCTGCTGCTTACGTTAAATGTATGCAGAAAGACTAAATTGTCTGATTGCTTCATTTAAGCTCTCTTTATTCCTTTTTGGCTTAAACAGCTGGTACCCAAGTTAGAGTATTTCAAAACTTTCATTGGGAAATGCATACTTTCGACGAGGGGATGGTGGAAGGTATAAGTACTTTGAAATAGACGAGATAGGACACTTTATCAGAAACAGGTGTTAAGAGAAGTAGGGTTTGATTTAGATTAGATTACTCTTCACATAGAATTGAGGTTATGGTGTTACGGGAGAATGAGGAGGATACCGTGGACAAAGGTTAGAAATGAGGAGGTATTGGAGAATCTTGGAGAATAGAGTGCTGTATGGAAGTTTATAAGAAATAGGCGAGATAGGTTAGTAGGACATGTTCTTAGACATAGAGGGCTAATTAAAGAGATATTAGAAGCGGAAACAGGAGCTAAGAGGAGCGAAGGTAGACCTAGATTGGATCACTGTTAACAAATAGTTAAGGATATGCGATGTTTCGGTTTAGCCCATGATAAAGATTACCATGGATAAAGGTTAGAAATGAATAGGTATTGGAAAAAGTTGGAAGTTTATAAGAAATAGGCGAAATAGGTTAGTAGGACGTCTTCTCAGACATGAAGGGCTAACAAATGGTTAAGGATTTGCGATGTTTCAGTTTAGCAAAGATTAGCTAAAGATAGGAATGTGTGGAGGTGCGTGTCCAACAGTCTGGACTGACGACTCTATGATAATGATGATTAAGTAGTCATTAATCCAAAATGCAAACCATCGAATTTTCATTAAATTTACCAAATTTTTATTTGATTTTTGTTAATTAAGTAATTATTATTAATTATTTGCCGCAAACGTGTGGACGTTCAATCACATCTCTCTAAAAATGTCTCCAGCTATTTTGGAAACTGTCCCATAAGTACTTACTAAACCCTCAAACTTTTGAGTAAAGTGTAACACCCTTCACAGACTTTAATGCGCATTTAACTTTCATTACTTGATTATTTATATGATACGGTAATTGAAGGTATTTGTACAGAAATTCCTGTACCACGTCGTTCATATCAAAAGATGACATCACGATTTAACGATTGCATGTATTAGTAGAGTATCTCCGTGCTCGGTTCTCAATTTTCCACTAGTATCAGATAAAAAAAAAGTGTAAACTAATAAGCGTCACAGCAGTTTTATTGGAAGCTATTGTTGTAAAAATGTATATTACATTTTGTATTCGTAATACTAGATAAATATAAATACCTTAAAGTTAAATTTATGCATAGGGAACTACCTGCAATCTACGGTAGTTTTTATTGTTTCATTGAACAATTGCATTGATTTTATTGCTTGTCGGGTAAATTAATATTCAATTTCGTTGATAAGGAAGAAGAATTTGCCGTGGCTAATTTTGCTTTGTGTGCCTTTAATGGTGCTTGAACTTGAATTGAAATGTACAATCTACGTGTTAAATTAAACGCCTTAACATTTAAATATCAATATAAATAAAAAAAGCCTTTTTTAGAAATTTACGATTCTCGATATTTATAAATATTTTAACAAGAAAAGCATGCAGTGATTGTTAAAATTACTCTTGATTTATGCCAATCGTTCTAAAATTATATTTAAGCTATGCATACCAAAAAAATGCATCTAAAATACATTTATAATTAGTTAATTATACTATCGACTATACATAATAGATACAATTAGACTAAACTTTATCTAAACAATCAGGTACATAATATAAAAAATGGTGCTTAACCTAACTGAGTCCATTTACCGATTTCGATTTAAAAAAATAGATTTGCATATAAAACTGTAAATAACTATGTGAACAAAATGCATCAATTATCTTTGACTTATTTGAAATAGTAATTAAGTAAGAATTACAAATAAAAAATCGGACGAAAAATAAAAATATGTAACATAATTTTTAAGAACATATATGTAAAATTTGAGGATATTAATGTATTGTTATAAACATGAACTTTCTGATGGGGTTTTAAATTTTTAGTTTTATTTATCTCTTTACCCACCTGTAATAAATTGAATTTTAGAAATTATTCATGTGCAACTAGTTATTTGCGATTTAATAGAAAAAATACCAGCTTCTTTCAGATTGTATCTCTCCAGCCAAAAATAAAAAATTTAGAAAAATCTAATCGCAAATTATCTAAAATCATCTTAATTTAGTGCTTCTTCGTAATATACGTATGAATAACCATTAGAGTTATGTTGGTCTTTAGAGAAAAGCTTTTTTTTGTTTAATATCGTAAATAGCTATAGTTGCGCACAGAAAATTTTCGAAATGTAATTCAATAAAGCTATAAAGTGAGTAAATAAGTAAGTAAAAAGATAAAATAAAACTAAAAATCAAACTCATCAGAAACAGCGATTTTTAACCATGCATTAAAACGCAGAAACTAAAGCGAATATTTACAAGTACTTGCCCGTATCCTTCCATTGCTATGAAATATAATTAAAATTCGTACAGAAGGCGTTTCTTTCCAATGAATACAGCGGCCAACCGAATGTACTCCAGATTTTTTCGTTTATCAGATTTTTGTCAGAACGAAGAATATTGTTATTTGTTATCTAACTTCAGATCTGTAAAAAGTGTAAAGCAAAATTAATGTTGAAATATTTAAATCGTCTATATTCGCAATATTAGGGGAGCGGTTGTTTCAAAAGTTTTTAAGATAAAGAAATTGTAGGAAAAATTCGAGCTGAAAAAATTATTTAAGCTTCTTCTAACAAATACGAAACAGAAGAAATGGTTTCAAGAGACTGCAATAAAGTTAACAGTAACAGAATTAAATATTAACTTTTTTAACTGCGTAAAATTTCAAAAAGCTTTAGTTATAACACAAAGAAATTAAACAAAAGGAACATTTATAGCAAGGACATAAATCTTTCTTTATCTATTTAACATGTTTTTGAGTAAAGTCGATGTTCTCTTCAAGACAGGAAGAAGTACAAGTGCATGTCGAATCGTTAGTCCTTAGACTGAAGCCCCTAAGGTTAATGATTACTGATTAGTAATACGAACGACTGTGAAAAATAATTAATTTTTGTTAATACACATTTAACTGTTTAATTTATCAAATGCCTACTAAATAAATATTAATTTATTTTCGTTTAAAGGCTTGGTACCGAAATGAATATTCGAATAACTTGTCTAAACTGGCAGCGGGGGTGCTCTAAACATTTTAATCTTGTTCTATTTTTCTGCTACCACTTAACACTATTTTTGTAGGACATTCTCTAGATACTTGATGGAATCGGCACTTGATGTTTTTGATATAGGAAGCAACTTTTAATAGAATTACACTTGACTGTTGCCCAGTGCAGGGGAAGGTTAGAAAAAATATGTAATGAGAATAGCCATCACTCTTTTTTATGCATTACGAAAAGTATCGATTTATTCGCAACCGTTTGCGGGGGTAATTAGTTTGGTAAATGTCTAGATGATGGGGTGGGTGGGATCGAAAGAGGAGGTCTCCCCCACCACTGTACCATAAAAAGTTCGTGGCGGTCTCACCCCCATAAAAAGTTATAGGGGTTCAAAGTTAATAAATATGCCAATT